AAAAAAAAAAATAGGGGCAATTCATTAATAATATGACTTACAAATGCAGTTCCTTTAGTCATTTCTTGAAACCTTTTAAAGTTTCTTCTGGTAACATCCAACTCAATAAAGCCAAATTAGCAGGATTCAAATTTTCAGACTTTCCATCCAACTTTGGCAAATGAGAACCCGTTATTATAGATTCTTCACGGTGTTGCGACAATGTCAACCCAATCAAGAATTGCCCATAAAAGAATGGGATGAAATCTCTAAAAATATTTGGAATATTCCGTCGCATAAAATCATCAAATATTGTCCATTTTATAAAAGTTGAAGAGGAAAAGATCTGTGAACGAGAAAGATTGCGAAGGTTTGAATCATATCTTGCCATATTTTCAACGACAGGAGTTACAATTTCATGAAGTTGTTTAATGCTTTTTAAAGATTCGAATTCCTTTGATTTGTACGAACTTAAAGAATTAGAAATCGTCATGATCCAAATTATTCCTGCCAAGATTTCTACCACATCGGTACATAATATTTTGGAGACAAGATGAGTTTTATCATCATCACTTTGTTGAAAACCGAGGGCTCTTAAAAATGCGGCGTCATCATCGAGGTTAATAGAACTAATCTTTAATTTTGGTTTGCCCTCCTCGCCATCATTGTCATCGTTAGTATCATGAGATGAGTTTTCAGGACCGTAGGAAAATCCTGCTTTAGGTGTTGTTCCGGAGGCTGAGTGTTCTTCATGCATAGCAAAAGATTCGAAGATGAGTTTGGCACGGTCTTCTAATATAACGTCATGAATCTTATCACAGTATACTGCGACAGCCTTTAAAAGTCCATTGAGTGTCAAAAGGTTCTCTCCATGTACTGATGATGGATAAGTGGCTAGATATGTAAATGAACGATATAATAATGAACCGATTTTTGCTCCCTCTGGAAATCCCAAATATTTCTAAAAAAAAAAAAAAAAAAATATGAATAATTAAATTGTATTAATCTATATCTATATTATTTTATACTTACAAGGAAAGCCTCTTCTTCAATAACTTGTTTATCATCTTTTAGACATGACAAATTGTCAAAAGTACTCTCTAAAGAGTAAGTTTCCAAACTTGAAAAATTTTTCTTCATTAAATCATTCGAAATTTTATCATGGTTAGAATGATTATGTGAAGTTTGTTTATTAATTGCTTCATTTGGTTGAGGTTCTGGTATACTTCCTGTTTGACCCATTATTGTAAAAATAACAAAAAAAACAAATAATAAATTCTCAAAAAAAAAAAAAATTTTTTTTTTTTTGTTCTAAAAGTTTTTGTAGATAATTACTCTATTTATTGTATGAAAGGCTATCACAAGGCTAAGTTTTTAATTCATAATGACTTCATTCATGTACTCGCCATTTGATTTAATGTTCCAAGAGTAATTCGGAAATTAAAAAAATTGAGTAATATTGTACGAGTTCATTATAGGATAGTGTGTGAGAAAAAGAGAGAAAAGTTCATTTTGTTAGTTAATGAGAATCTCTCCTATTTTGTAATATTTATTCTAACATTGTTAAGATTGACCCTTTATAAGGAAATCTCCACAGAATTTAATTAGCCCAAATGTTAAACCTTCAAAATTGACCCGATCAATTACCATAATTATTTTTATACATTTCGCCGATCAATTTTAATCTAAACCTTTCTCGTGGTGGTTTTTTTTTTAAAAAAAAAAAAAGCTAAATTCGAAAAATGGTTACCATTAACGTTTGCAAAAAAGGAACAAATGTTCCTTATGGTATGTGATATTTGACCAAAATTAAAAGGATCGATTTCGCAGGCAAAAAAAATAGAACCCAGTAGTAATTTTTAATTTACGATTTACCTCAACGATTTTTCTCTCAGTAATTATGCTTACCTTGCTATCTCATTTTTTCGAATAAATTGATATTTAATTCTATAGGTATCATCGTATTGGCTCATTATATTAATCGTCAATCAAATGCTTCATTTCAAAGACTTGATATTCAATGGCACGAAGAAAGTAATGATGCTAATTCTCTTGTGATTCTAAAATCTGACTAGTAAATTCTTATCTCTATCTTATCTGTCTTCACAAATTCGTCAAATATTATTCAAAGATTAACGCCCCTTTCGAATAAATATATCTTTAACAGCGACGACGTTATTGGAACAAATAATGTTGCAAGATATTTGGGTAAAACTTATAAAGATTTGTGCTTATATGGAAATAATCCAGGATCTATGACTTTGGTATTCATTTATTTTAAATAATAGATAAGGCGAAAAAGTAGATTAATTTATTGATAATATTATTATTGTTTTTTTTTTTTGTTTTTTTGAAAGATTGATCATTGGGTAGATTATGCTGCGGATAAATTAGGAACCAATAATTTCAAAACTCTCGAAGTGGCATTTGATGAAATTAATCATCATCTTACTTTAAGAACCTTTTTTGTCGGATATAAATTATCTTTGGCTGACATTATTTTATGGGGAGCTTTGAAAAGTATGTCAAATTATAATACGTAATACTTATTTTAGTTATTTGTATATTTACCTAACCTCAATTTAATAGATTCGGCCGTTTTTAATAGCCAGCTTAAAGCTGGAAAGGAAGCAGGAGGTCCTCATTTAGCAAGATGGTTTAATTATATTAGTTCGATGGATTTTATTCAACAAGGAACAAATTGGGTTACTCAAACTGCCAAATCAAAAACAGTATGTATTTAACTAAACATAATAATATATAGCATCAATTTTGAACCAACATTTTGACCCAAAGCAATACTCCTTATTCGAAGTCCAAAGTTGGGAAGGATCAACCAAATATGAATATCGGTTTGGTAGATGCCAAAATTGGAGAGGTGGTCACTAGATTTCCACCAGAACCCTCTGGATATTTACATATCGGACATGCTAAAGCCGCTATGTTGAATCAATATTTTGCCAAAGAGTATAAAGGAAAAATGATTGTTAGATTTGATGATACTAATCCCTCAAAAGAAAAGGTAAGTTAAAAAAAACCAAATCCGTTTTTTTCTGTTTGTTTGTACATAAACTCATTAGATATTATTTCACATTTATAGGAAGAATTTGAGGATAGTATTAAGGAGGATCTAGAATTGCTTGGAATTCGTCCTGATCAAATTACTTATACATCCGATCATTTTGAAGAATTGTTTCAGTATGCAATCCAGATCATTGAAAAAGGATTAGCTTACGTTGATGATACTGATGTCGTCACTGTAAGTAACCTTTAGATACTGTTATACTGTATATCCCATGTTTCGCAAAATTGTAATACGTTATAAATATTCTCTAATAGATGAGACAGCAACGTATGGATGGTATTCCTTCGAAAAGTCGGGATATATCTGTTGAAGAAAATCTAAAAAGGTTTCAAGAAATGACTAAAGGAACTGCATTTGTAAGTCATATTATTAATGAATTGCCCCTATTTTTTTTTTT